CATAATGTGCCGAGCACCCACCACAGCCACTATCTGTGTGTGAGGTTCTGTTCATTTTCAAATAAATTAGAGTGTGGCCTGTGACGTCAATTACCCTGGGGCTGTGATCTGAACCCTTCCTAACTGTGGGTTGCCGGAAACTTAGTGGCCGTGCTAGACTCTAGGAGATCGCGTTGAACTTCAGAGGGTGGTGGTGAGGGCTCTGGGTTGTGAGAGATTGTGAACTGGCTTTAAAATAGTCAATGATAATAGGTGGTATTGAAACCGGACAAGAGTTGCTTAGTGGCTCAATGGCTACTCAAAAACAAAAATAAAAACAAAGCCAAAAGGAAACAAAACCAGGCAGAAAATAAACGGATGGCCAGATGGGGAGAAATTTGAGTCCTTACGCGTTGACATTGGGCAAGTAAAATGGGGCAGACCCTGAGGGCAGTTCCTCAAGAAATGATGCAGCGAGCCCACTGCTGGGTGTGTGAAGGTGAAAGCGGGGTCGCTGAGAGATGTATGGCCACCCGTGTTTATTTCAGGGTAATTCAGAATAACCAAGGAGCAAACAGAAGTGTCCTGTATGTATAGTAGGCTAAAAGGAAAGGGCTTTTTATTTAGCCTAAAAGGGAAGGGCTTTCTGGCCCTTGGTAGAGGGTGTAAAGAAACTCAGAGGAGGCCATGCAGAGTGAAACAGGCCAGGTATCAAAGGAGACATACTTACATCATCTTCCATCCCTGGACGGGTCAACCTGTGGTGACAGGAACTAAGATGGTAGATTCCAGGAGCTGCAAGAAGGTGGGATGGGGGGATACTGTTGAATGGACACGGGGCTTCAGTTTTTTGAGATGAAAGGGTTCTGAAAACCGATGGTCGCCATGGCTGTATCACGGAGTTACAGCCTTAAAATAGTTCAGGGGTGAGCTTCATGTCCTGTATGTTTTTGCTAAAATTCTAAACAGCGATTTGAGAAATATGGACAGAGAGTTACGGACAGACATACATCTTCAGGATATAGCATTCAGCTTGGGAAGTCACCTTTCTTGGGACTTGGGCTTGCCTCTCAAGCTGGCTGGTGTGCCTTGTCTTTGGTGCGTGTCAGTAGGGTTTCTGTTGCTGTGGTAAGAACCATGACCAACAGTAACCTAGGGAGGAACGGGCTTGTTTAATCATAGGATTCTGTATCACATGAACTGTCAAAGTGAGAGGAGGAACTCACGGCAGGAACTGAAGCGGAGGCCTTGAAGGACTGCTGCTTACTGACTTGCTCTCCGTGACTTGACCACCCTGCTTTCTCATGCTGTTCAGGACTTCTTTCCCAGGGAAGTCACTGCCCACAGTGGGCTGGGCCCTCCCGTACCAATCATATATCAAGGCGAGACCTCTACAGACGTCTACAACCAACGTTTTGGAGTCCCTCTTTCAGATAGGTCTTGGCTTCTGTCAAGTTGACAAAAACAACCAGCATAGGGGATGCCCGATGGGGGCGCAGGGGAGAGTGGACTTTCATGGGCGCAGTCAATGCCAGACCCTGCAGTTTTCTGGATAACGAGGCAGTAGACTAGCAGTGAGGAGAGAGGGATCTGATAACGAGGAGGTGCACCTCCGTGGAGCCTGTGCATTAGAAGGCAAGGAAGAAGGGTCTTTAAAAACAAATTCACCGTGCCTGCAGGGATCCCGCCTGTGGAACAGGGTCTCTAGATCCTTAGAGGCTTGTTGCTGATTGCCCTATAGAACCCTTTAGAGTTCACTGGGGTAGTGGTTCCTAAAGGTACTTTCTGTTTCTAGCTATGTTCTCATTGATTCCATTTCTCCCTATCTGGGGAGCGGAACCCAGGGCCTGTGCCAACTAGGTAAGCATTCTGCTATTGAACAACAGCCCAGCTGGTAAGGATGTAATATGCATACTTGTTATTTATTTGTGGATGTTCATGTGGGAGGGTGCCTTGGGGTGGGTTCATGTGCACATCTGTGCACATATGGAGGTCAGAGGTAGATGCCAGCACCTTTTCCACCAGCCTAGAGCTCACAGCTTCTGCTGGACTGGCTAGTCATTGAGCCCCAGGGTCCTCTTGTCCCTGTCTTCTCAGCATTGGGGTTACAGGCAGGTGTCACCTCACCTGGCTTTCCCACGGTGCTAGGGATATGAACTCACATTCTTAGAAATGCACAGAGAGGCATCTCCCCAAACCCTCTAAAATGTATTTCTGTTGGAGGTCTTCTTCATAAACTGCAGGGGGGGTTTTCTTCCACTTTTCCGCGGCGGCATGTCTTGTGTTGAGACACAGTGTAGACAAGTCCAGAGATGTCTAGTTTAGCTCATGCTTTGGTGCAACAACAAGCTGACCAAAAAGCAGTCACGGGACTGCCCGCCTATACCCACGGATCACACATTCATCAACAGTGTTGTCTCGAATGTACCCACCTTCCTGCTTCTGCTTTTAGTTCAGTTTTTTTTTTTTTTTCACAGCACAGTGTAAGGAACTGAAAAGCAAAGAAAGCCAGTTGGTCTCACAAACAGATTTACATGCTGCGTGTCTGGCTGACTTCAGCATCTCTGCATGTTGGGCTTACTGCCATTGTCGGGGAGAGTCAGTTCTTGCCCTGCTGTACACCCCGACTGTGTGGTTGCTGTATTTCTCAACTTCAGTTCCATCCGAGCCTTACTTAAATGCCTTTTATTTGCCCATAAGCTAGTAAAGTTAGTTGGCACCAGCGACGTACAGGTTATTTTCCTACCCAGGCCTCACAGGGAAGCTAATTTCTAAATGCAGATGTGCGGGTGTGACCGGATGGTTTCTACTGACGCAATGCCATCAGGCGCCCTGTGAATGGCACGGTGCCAGTGTCTGCACTGGCCTTTGAAGCGCTGTGGATTCAGCGATTCCCTGCTAAGGTTAAATCGGATCTGTATCTGATGTCAAAGAACACAGCATCTCCATTACTGGCTCTTCAGTGTCCTCATGAGCTCCTTACCCTGTTTGGTTTCGTTGGGAGAAAAGCCCAGTTTGACCTGTGGAATTTGTTAATCCATGAAGCCATGCTTTATTTATTCACCATTCAGACAACATTTCTCGGATGCTCAGTGGTCATGAATATGCATGTGATTGGCTGGCAGTTAAAGCCACTCGTCTTAGAAGCAGAGCTGCTCCATATATAAAGGCATCCCTCCACACCCTTCCTTCTGTATCTTCAGTTGCAATCGAATTTGAATTGAAAATATTTTGAAAAATTTATATTGGTACCAGCAACTACAGATTTTTTTGGTTGTTATTTCCTGAACAATATAACATAACAGCTACTTCCACAGTACTTATACTGTATTAGGTATCTTAGATAATCCAGAGATGATCTAAACTACTGAAAAAACATGCACAGGTTATATGCAAATACCATGCTGCTTTATACAACACACTTGAGCATCCACAGACCTGAGCGTCCACAGACCTAAGTGTCCGTGGACCAGAGCATCCACACCACAGACCTGAGCGTCCACAGACTTGATCATCCACAGACACTGGCATCCATAGACTTTAGACCCTGTTGCCCCACTGATACTGAGAGACAGATCTGTATTCAGAAAATTAAAGTGTTTTTAAAAACTGAATGAAAAGTCTAAATTTTTGTTTTAAAAAATATGAACGTACCAGGCAGTGGAGTTGTGAGGAAGCTATCTTTGCTGTGCAAATTTCAAATGATAGCCCGCAGGCATGCTGAGTCTGTGGGTGACAGCTCTTAGCCCCTGAGAGTTCCTCCTCACTGCAGGGACTGAAGTTCAGCGGCTACATTGTTACTGCCTGTCCCTGTTGACAACCATGAGCTGTTGTAAAGGACTGAGCTAGGGGTGTGAGTCCTGGGAATAGAAGAGAGGGCCGGACCCAGGGACCCAGGAGCCTGATCAGAAGAGAGTGATGCCCAATGGAAGAAGTGAATCGAAGCCCTCATTTGCAAATCAAGAAGACAGCAGAAGCAACAATGGCTTAGGCATATTCCTGCCTATCTTGGCAAAGGCTGTATATAGGACATGAATTAATAGCAAGATAGGTTGTGACGGGTGTGTGACGTCATAGTTACAAGCTGAGACTCAGAGGGTGGATACTCTGTTTGGCACCAGTGTTGGAGCATTAGCTGACGTTCCTTCAACTCTGCAGGCTTCATTTTATGTCACATAAAATAGTGCTAACCGAGGACTTGCCTGCTATTCCACCGCGTTGTTTTAGAAGTGAAAAGACACTGTGAGCTTCACCTTATTTTTGTCAGCGTACCCAAGTAGTGAGAAGGAAACACTACTTTGCTTCTTGGGTTTGGAGTTTTAGCTTAAGATCCAGTGATTCCAGTGATGTCGTTGCTTGGGCCTCTGATAAAACTGTATATTATAAGAGAAACACATGCTGTACCAAATGAATCATGCCTCATGAGCCAAGCAACAGAGAGAAAGGAAGAGATGGGGTCTTATGATCCTCTTCAAGTGACCTGAGGACCTCACGGAAGGCCCTGTTACCTAAAATCTGTACAACATGACTTATCACCACCCTAGGGATGAAGGCCTTTGGGGGACACTCATCCAAACTGTCCTAATTCCTAGGAATTTTTCGAGGATTCTAACTTACTACAAACACTTGGCTATTGGTTGGTTGGTCAGTCAGTTGGTCTCTCTGTCTAGATATCAATCTGCAGATGGGCTTTCTGTTGCCTAAAGTGTTTTAGAATTACCGGGCTTAAGGAATTCTTCTGCTTCTGTCTCTCAAGTTGTTGGGAATACAGACAGGTACATGCCACCGAATCTGACCAGCTGGCTGTGGTTTGAGATTGAACTGTAGTAGCCCCATCCTTTTCTTGAAAGCAACAGGTCTCCAACTCCTCCCTGTGTATATCACTTTGCTCTATTTTGTATTTTGACATCATGGTCATTCTGTTGGGGAGATTGGATTTTTGAACACCAAGAGAAATTATTTATTAATTAACTAAGACTTAATTAATTAACTCTTAAATGTTAAATCAGGTTTGGGGAGATGATTCAGTCTGTAAAGTGTTTGCCAAGAAAGATCCTGAATTCAGATTCTCAGAACCCACCATGCGGTCTCAGCTCTGGGGAGGCAGAGATCAACGGACCCTGGCATCCACTGGCCAACCGGCATCGCTAAGCAGCGAGCTCCAGGTTCTGTGAGAATAAGAGCCAAAGAGGAGGACGTGTGAGGGTAAACTTTGGTCTCTGTGTGCACATGCACTCCCCCACAGACGTGCACACACTCATGGGAGCTTGTACACATGAATACCGCCCCTCCCAACAGAGGCAGAGAGAGAAATAAAGGCGTGGGTATGTGCACTGTATCTGGAGGTCAATGGAGCTGGTTTCTCTCCTTCTACCTTTATGTGGCTTTTGGGACTCAAACTCAGGTTGCCAGGCTTGTTTGTGGCAAACGCCTTTTGCCTACTGAGCCACCTTGCCGGCCCTTTTTCTTTCTTGAAAGAGTCTTACTAGGTGGTTCAGGCCGGCCATTAACTCAGGGTACTTGGGCCTTAGCCCTACAGTCCTGAGATTTCAGGCGCGTCACCAAGTCCAGTAGGAGTTTTATTATTCTTAGATGGTCATCAAGCATCATATGAAGGGGACTGTAGATTTTCTGTTTTTTGCTTGCTTGTTTGCCTGTTTTGCAGATTGTATAAATAAACAAAGAGCCAGGTGGTGGTGACGCTCACCTTTAATCGCAACACTGGATGGGGAAGGCAGAGGCAGATGGATCTCTGTGAATTTGAGGCCAGCCTGGTCTACAAGAGCTAGTTCCGGGACAGGCTCTAAAGATACAGAGAAAGCCTGTCTCGGAAAACCAACCAACCAAAGAATAAAAATCTTGCTTGATATAGCAAAGGTGCATTCCTAGGCTCCTCATCTCTATTTAAAATAGAGAAAACCATGACACTTGGTCAAAGAATTGGCTTTGCATAAAGCCTAGGATCACATAGATTCTCTGACTGATTTCAAAATGACCTTGGTCAAATTTTTCCTCACCAAGTGATAAGGAACAACCACACATACTATTAAATAAAAATTAGAGCCAGGCATGGTGACCCACACCTATAATTTCAACACTCAGGAGGCATAGGCAGGCAGACCTCTATGAGTTTGAGGCCAGCCTGCTCTACAGAGAGAGTTCCAGAATAGCTAGGACTGCACAGAGAAACCCCATTTCAAAACAAAACAAAACAAAATCAAAAACCAACCAAACCAAAAAACCTTTGGTTCTTTGATTCTTGTTGCTGTTATAGAAGAAAATTCAGATTTTCTAATGGAGGAAAGTGAAGCTTTTAAATTGTATCTTTTAAACCTATTATTTTATGTGTATGGTCATTTTGGCTGCATATAAGTCTGTGCATCACTTGAGTGCCTGGTGCCCAAGGAGGCCAGAAGAATGCACTGCATCCCCTGAAAGTGGAATTAGCTGCCATGTGTGTGCTGGAAATTGAATCTTGTATCTTATGGAAGAGCAGCCAGTGTTCGCAATCCCTGAGCCATCCGTCTAGCCCCTCCGTTGTCTCAGCACTGCCCTCTCTATCACACGTAAAGGGCAGCTAAGGTGTCCCTTACCTAAACAACCGTTTAGGGCCAGAGTGTTCGGCAATTTGTTTGATTTTCAGTTTTTTAAATACATGTACATACGAGTTAGCTTAGCGATGGGTTCTAGCCTGGAGGCTTAGTGGCCCTGTATTTTGACTGCACTTTATCACATAAAATCAGGGCTGACATTTTCTTCTTATGGCTTTTGTTAGTGTTTTAATATTTCAGACTGTGGAACATTTCAGAGTTTCCAGTTGAAGACACTCCCCTGTCCGTGCTTCTTGAAATGCTAGGGAATTAATGTATCATAGTGTGTGGTGGTTTGAAAGAAAATGGCCCCCAAAGGGGGTGGCACTATTAGGGGGTGTGTTTTTTGGAGTGGGTGTGGCCTTGTTGGAGGAAGTGTGTCACCGTGGGTTGGGCTCTGAGGTCTCCTATGCTCAAGCTACTCCCAGTGAGACAGATTACTTCCTGTTGCCTTCTGATCAAGATGTAGCCAGTACCATGTCTTCCTACCATGTCCCACCATGATGATAATGGACTAAACTTCTGAAAACGTAGGCCACCCCAATTAAATATTTCCTTTATAAGAGTTGTCATGGTCATGGTATCTTCACAACAATAGAAACCCTAACTTAAGACACAGAGAGAGCCCAAATTCCTGTCTCTATGATAAATAGACATCGGGCTTCATATGCAGTGGTTATGGGGAGCTTGACTACATAAGATCCTGGCAGCCTTACCACCGTTGAGCTTGTACTTCCTTCTGTCTCGTTCTTCAACCTGGATTTCCCCTCATTTACATGGAAAACCCATGACTTCATACACGCTCCAAAATACTCCATTTAGTAAAGATGCATATGATTCTCTAAACCATCAAAATACCTTCCCTCCCTCTCTCCCTTTCTCTCTCCCTCCCTACCTCCTTTCCTCCCTCCCTCCTTTCCTCTTTCTTTTTTATTTATAAGCCCAGGTGGCCTTGAGCTTCCAATTCCCTTGCTTAAGTTTCATGCTCTCTAAAGCCCTTTGCTGAGACCATAGTGGTTCCAACCCAGACACTTGCTTTGGCTTGGGCCAGCATTATATTTTGAAATGTTTGCTAAAGGGAAAGAACGTTTGGATGAGCCCAGATGGACAAGGGAGGCACGCACACCAGGATGATTTGTTTCCCATGCGCTGTTTAGTCTCTCTAGGAAGTGAAAGGAACTTCCTGGCTCTTTGTCTCTCACATCCTTCCCAGAGGACCTGAACCCAGCCCAGGAGGCAGGATGCCTCCTGCTTTCTTTCTGAATACCAGCTGATGGAGAGCTGCCTGCAAGGCCAAGCAAACGCTCTCTTGCTCCGTGAATGGTTACTTACTCTTCAGGGAACAAGAGGGCAAAGGGGCTTCATCCATTGACAGGAGAGCAAGGAGCCAGGGCTTGATCTGCTGAACACAGAGAGGAAAGCGGTTTTTTTTTCCCTCAGTTGCAAAAATTTTATAATGATGCAATATAGTGATTGTTTTACTTTCATCTAAAATAATAATTAACTTTTACACAAAACCCAGTGAGACCGCAGCTAGCTATTGAATGTTCATGCTTTACTAGGTTCTTAGAAGATGATTCATTCACTCTTGTCCCTGGCGAGGGCACTGAGATTTAGAGATAGTAATTTGCTTCTTTAGCTACCGAGTAAATGGAACGGAGCTCAGCGGTCTCGTCTGTGTTTTTGTATGTGGGAGGAACGTCCTTGATTTTAGTTTGTCACAAGACTTTTGAAAACGTCATAATAAATACGAGGTAGAAAATATTTATTGAGCACTCACTGTGTGCATTCCTCGCTGTAAACAGCAGCCAGGCTTTGTTTGAGTCATTCAGCTGTCGCGGTGCACTTCAGGAAAGAGGTGACGTTTGTCCGCTTTGCAGATAGCAAAGGTTAAGGCTCTGCTGCCCTACCGCTCACCACGCTCACCACGGTGAAGCCGGAACTTTCATCCCAGCCTTTGACCCGCAGGCTTGACTCCACAACCACACGCATGGAAGGCAAAGACCCAGGCTCTCCAACCCGGCAGGATACCACCACAAGAGAGCCCCGCTTCTGCCAGTCTGCCAGTTTACTGTGGTCACAATATAAGTAGATGAAGAGAAATAAATTCAATGAAATTAAACAGAAAATTGAAACATTGAGTGGAATCTACACGATGGTCAGTCACTGTCATCTGCATTAACTTCAGCTGGTGGCTTGGTTCCTACCTATTACAATTGTCACCATTTACTGGGGAGCAAAGAAATTTTTTTCTGGCTCTTGGATGCGGATGTGTTTGTAATCCTTTTCTTTGAAATGCTGCTTCAAAACCTTAAGCTTTGAAAGGTTGTTAGATTTTTAAATGACTAGCAGCCAAAGGAAGAATAGGTGGGTTCATAAATGAATACTCATCCCCATTCTGGTTTCTTGGTATCACCTGTGCCAACCTGTCTGGGATCGCTGAGCTAACCCAGTTTAATCACAAGAAATGAAGTGAGTTTTAGGCGGCCGCAGCTTGCGCTCAACCAACAGCTAAATAGCTCCCGCAGGGTGCCCCTGCAGTTGGGTGGGGAGACCCCGCCATGTTTCAGCGGTCACTCTCCCATCAGGGTCGCAGTTTAACAACGACTAAGATTGCAGCTTTTCCTTCCGAAAGTGGAGTGTATTTCCCTACTCTCTAGATGATTTATTTACTAAAAACCCAATTTCTTGCCTCAGTGAAGTCAACACAAGTGTGAATGTTTCGACACTGACTCGGACACAAAAGGATTGAAGTACTTAATCACAGTGTCATTCCGTCTACCCGTTCTCGGGCATCAGATGCCCCGAAGCTGGCGTTACATGCAGTTGTGAGCCACCCAGTGTCACAGGTGCCGAGACCGGAGTCAGCTCTTCAGCCCCAACAGCCTGAGTTCTTACCCAGCACCAGGCCCCCCAAGTCTCAAGGTCTTTCTGAATCAGCATTAAAAACACAAATATGAGTCTCCAAATTCTATCCCCTACCAACCCCCCAGACAGCGAGAGCCACACAGCAACCCCACCCAGTGCCAAGCCTTGAACTGCTAGATTTGTAGGTTACTAAGTCCAGAAAAGGATCCCTCACAGTTGCCCAAGAACAAGTATGGCGGAGGAGGGGGAGGAGGAGACCTGAGAAGAACAGAGCTCCCCTGGGAACCAGGGAGGGTTAGTAAGGTGCCTGTGCCAAGCTCTGTTTTCCCAGGTTTCTTTGGTTGGTGATTTTGAGTTCAGATCTGGAGTGGCTACGGAAGCGAATCAATTCCAGTCTCCATCCTTGAATAGGGCAGAGAACTGTAAAGCCATATGGTGCTGCGAACCGCGCCCACCGTGTCTGCACTCTATGCGCTAGAACCCAGTTTGCGAGCTTCGGGCGAGGGGCTGGAGGTTGAGAATACTCATGCAGAGACAGACCGACACACAGACCTTCCAAAGGCTGGTTCAGAAAGCCCACTTTATTAACACCATGTAGGCTTAAATACACTGCAGTCAATGGCCAACAGGTGATAATCCCATCCTCTGATCCTCTAAACCAGGCACAGTTTCTAGTAACTTTAATTAGAAGCTTCTAGGAGGGAAGAGCAGCTGAAGGCCAGAACTCATTAGTCCCCACAATATGGGGCCATTATTGTGCTAATTACCCTACAAGGAATCTGAAGGGAAACCCACCCAGTCCTCTGTTGGCTTTGACTCTCTTTCTGAGGTGCAGGTCCGGCCATGGTAATGTTCACTACACCGTAGCTTTCCTAGTTGTCTCTGTCCTCGCAAGAAGCTTTGGGTGGGATGGGGGCACACGTGGTGAGACAGCCTCTCCCAGACAGCATCGCTAGGGCCGTTCTGTGCACTGCACGGGAGAGCACAGAGCTTCTGCCCCTCAGTAGACACCCCATTCTGGGCTGAACTGTCACAGCATCCTGCTCATGCCTGCTCTGTGGAGGCAGCCATGAATTCCTCACCAGGGTCGAACTGGGATTGGTTGTGAATGACGGTGAACATTGTTAAAGAAGAAATGGGTGGCAAGTGAGATGGCTTGGTTGGTAAATACACTTGCCACCAAGTCGGATGCCCAGAATTCAGTCCTCTGGGCACATATGGTAGATGGAGAGAATCAGCTCCCACAAACTGTCCTCTGAGCTGCACCCCTATAGTGATAGAGATCACCTGGCAAATAAATAAATATTTAAAAGAGGGGGAAAAATGGGATGAAAGCAACCTATCCAAACTCCAGCAGAAGAGGGGATATAACCCTTAAATGTTTGTTCAACTGGCCATCTCCACACATAACAAAACTTATTAACAACATGTAATCCAGGCTGGGACACAGGAAGACCGTGTGTAAACAGGTAGAGGCCACTGCTGGGAGACCTTTGGCAATTTTCTATGTAAAACTCTTCAGATGCCCTGTACGGCTGATTCCTTCATAGAGAAATGAAAGCCCCTTTCCTTTTGAATGGTGTATCATGCTGTATATATCAGCTTCAGTCATAATATGTCAGTCAGAAGATGACGTTTGACATATTCCTGAGATATGATAGCATGACTCAGCTCAGATAAGACACTGACCTGTGTACAGGGTCCAGCATCCCATACACTTTCTCGTTAACAAAGGCAGGCAGGTGGGAACAAGTCAGCTACTATAGACTTAACGTGTATGGAGCCCAAGGCCAGGCTTCTAGGGAGGATGACGAGCAGGGGGTGGGGATGGGAGCACGGGTGACAGGAATGGGTGGCTCGCTGTGGAAGATGCTGACCTGGGCGTAGATACACAGCAAAAGTAGTTCAGACAACAGCCTTTTGCCATGTATACCTCTGGGGCACTTAGGGAAAAAACCAAGATGAAGGTTTTAGTTTTACCATCTGTAAGTGTGTGGTTCCGAGGCTTTCAGTGCGCTGACAAGGCTGTGCAGACGTGACCACCAACCCTGTGGAGAGCACTACACCTACCTCAGTGAAGCAGACAACCTGAGAGGAGAGCTAAGCAACACCCAAGGCATTGACCTTGCACCAAGTGAGGCACCGCAAGACCTTTGCCGGCCTCTCCTGCCCTTTCCACCCAAGGGCTGAGATGGGCTCAGGAAAGACCTTAAATCCTACTCACAATGGTGAAGAAAGCCTCTAAGGCTGCACTTTGATGTGGTGCTGGGGGTGGGTCCCAGGGCCTCACACGTGATAGACAAGCCATTTACCACTGGCCTTGCTTGGCTCCTAGCGCAGCTGAGAAGGTTTGTAAAAGGTGTGTATTGACATGGGTGCTGGGAACTGAACTCTGTCTTCTGGAGGAGCAATACATGCTCCTAGCCACTGAACCATCTCTCCAGCTAAAGAGGGTTTTAAGATACTTGAGGTTTAGCTCTGTGGAGAAAGCAGGGGGCAGAAGGAGTGGCAGATTAACGAGGGAACAAAGATACATGCTGCCCCTAAAATTTCAGGTGAGCAATTATGTTTGTTGTTTTTTGTTAACTTGACACTAACCTAGATGTTACTGGGAAGAGAGACTTTCAGCTGAGGAACTGGCTCCGACAGATACACTTTGGTCGGGCCTCAGAGGGCATTCTTTCAGTTGATGATCAATGTGGGATGCCTGGCCCACTGTGAGCAGTGCCATTCATGGGCAGAGGGTTTGGGCTACATAAGAAAGCGCGCTGAGCAGAGCAAACCATGGAGAGCGAGCCAGGAAGCAATGCTCCTCCACACTCTGGGCTTCGGTTCTCACCTTCAGATTTCTACCTTGATGGACCAGGACCTGTCAGCCAGATAAACCCTTTCTTCCCCAAACTGGTGATTTAATCCAGTGGTTTCTTTCTTTCTTTCTTTCTTTCTTTCTTTCTTTCTTTCTTTCTTTCTTTCTTTCTTTCTTTCTTCCTTCCTTCCTTCCTTCCTTCCTTCCTTCCTTCCTTCCTTCCTTCCTTCCTTCTTTCCTTTCTTTCTTTTTTTCTTTTTTTGTTTTGTTTTTGTTTCTTTGTTTCATTTTGTTTTTCAAGACAGGAATTCTCTGCAGTTTTGGAGCCTATTCTGGCACTAGCTCTGTAGACCAAGCTGACCTTGAACTCACAGAGCTTCAAGTGTCTCTGCTGCCTGAGTGCTGGGATTAAAGGCGTGCGCCACCCCCGCCCAGTTTAATCAGTGTTTGATCAACAACAGAGAAGCAAAGTAGGAAGAAAGGAATACTTCTTAGTATATCTTATGTAGAATTGAGGGAATGTTGGTTGTCCATGGGGCACACCGGCATCCTTGGTGTCCTGTGTTTATCTGACAGAGCTAAGGTGACACCTAATAAGCCCCTGGATAGGGACCAGCTAGAGGTGAGCATCTACAGTCTTTGGAAAGACTGCTGATAAGTGTGGGGAGTGAGGAAAGCAAGGATCGGTGATGATTCCTAGGTTTGAAACCTCAGCACTGAGCCATACTCTTTCCTGAGTTGCAGGAGATGTCCAGTTACAGCTGACTTAGGGTGCAGGAGGGGTCTCACTGCGGATGTGGAAGTCTGAGTCATTGTGGACTGTTCCTTGCCTGCACTTAAATATTTTATTCCAAATTAAGAAATCCTGTTTATGTATCTATCTCTTTGTTTGTTTGCTGTTATTCTGAGACTCTGTTGCTCAGGCTAGCCTTGTTATCTAGACCTGGCTAGCCTTGAACTGGGATTAACAGTGTGAGCCAACAGACAGGACTTAGAAATCCCTTTGTTATGAAGAAGAAAAAAAAGTGTACATGAATGCAGTTATAATATCACATTCCCTGATTAAAAAGAAATATCTTCAAATACGTATCTTTATTTTTAAGTTATTTAAGTTATTTTTACCTTTTTTATTGGTTTGATTTTTGTTTTATCCTTTTATTTTTTTGAGGCAGGGTCTCACTATGTAATTTGGCTGGTCTGGAACTCACTACACAGCCCTGGCTAGCCCAGAACTCCTAGAATTCTT